AGTGGCTTGACCAGCTTGCATTCCCACCAACAGTGGGTTAGTGTCCCTTTTTCCCCACATCCTCGCCAGCATCTGTTGTTGGTAGATTTCTGCATGTGAGCCATTCTAACCGGGGTGAGGTGAAACCTCATTGTGGTTTTGATTTGCATTTCCCTGATTGCTAATGACCTTGAACATTTTTTCATGTGCCTGTTGGCCATTTGGATTTCCTCTTTTGAAAAATGTCTATTGAGGTCCTTGGCCCATCTCTTAAGTGGGTTGTTGGTTTTGTTTTTGTGGAGTTTCTTGATCTCTTTGTAGATTCTGGTTATTAACCCTTTATCTGTTGCATAGTTTGCAAATATTTTTTCCCATTCTGTTGGTTGTCTCTTCACTCTCCTGACTGTTTCTTTTGCAGTACAGAAACTTCTCAATTTGATGCAATCCCAATAGTTGATTTTGGCTTTGACTGCCTGTGCCTCCTGGGTCTTTTCCAGAAATTCTTTGCCTGTGCCAATATCTTGAAGGGTTTCTCCAATGTTCTCTAGTAACTTGATGGTGTCAGGTCGTAGATTTAGGTCTTTAATCCATGTTGAGTGGATTTTTGTGTAAGGTGTAAGGTAGGGGTCTTGCTTCATGATTCTGCACGTGGAAATCCAATTTTCCCAGCACCATTTATTGAATAGACTGTCCTTGCTCACAAGGACATATCCAATTAGACTCATAGCAGACTTCAGATCAGAAACCCTACATATTAGGAGAGAATGGTGAGATATAGTCCAAGTCTTAAGAGAAAAAAACTCAACCCAGAATACTGAACCCTGCAAAGCTCTCATTTATGAATTAAAGTAAAATAAAGACCTTCCATAACAAGCAGAAATTGAATTTGTCACAAGCACCCAGCCCCTGTCATTTCTCCCCACAGACTCAGGACTCTCCACTCGGCTGGTGGCTGGTCATGGACATGATCTGGCAACAGCTGTTTCATAGTCCAAGATGGCACCCGCTCTGTATCGGCTTGTTCCAGGACATTGCTGAGGGTGACTGGGGGAGAAACATGCCCCACTTGTCCTCCTCCTCTGGTCTGGCTGGTGCACTACGCCCTACAGGGCTCCACACCGGATTCCCTCCCAGCTTTTCCTGAAGCTTTACTGGGCCGCTGCATTCTGGTCTCACCTCCCTCCAAAGCTGGCGCAGAGGCTCTTGCTGCTGGGACCTGAGTTGTGCATGCCCACACCCTCCACAGAGGTCAGCTGTGTCCCTCTAATTTGCATGGAGTTTCCTCTGCCATTTTCTCCCTAAATCTTCTGTGAGACTGCACTCTCTCCATTTTTTATTAAACTATCTTCTCCTAGACTACAGTGGTAAGCTCCCTCCTTAGTCCACCATCTTAATCCCATCTGGGGGGTGACTAAGATTAGAAAAGGTCACCTGGCAGAGTCCCAGGATGGCACCGGTGGCTCTGTAAGAGGATACAGGCCCCAGCCAGCAGCCTTGCTGTGCCTCACCAAGCCACGCTGCGAGGAAGAAGGTGCTCACCACCTGCTGCACGGTGCAGGTGCCGCATGCTTGGACTTGCCAGTTTATAGCAGAGACCAAATACATTTCTATTCCTTATAGGTCACCCAGTCCCAGGTATTCTGTACCAGCAACAGAAAGAGACAAGGACAAAAGGAAATAACAGAAATAATTACTTTTAAGTTGATGAACAGTAAATGCTCTTTATATACTGCCTCTTTCATGTTTAAACGAGAAGCAAGTCCATTTTTATTTGTACTGTGAAAATCCTCTCCTCTAAATGGCAGCATTGATAGGCAGAAATTTATCTTATAATATTTTATAAGAAGACAAAATGACGTGCCTTATTACTATCCCACACTGGAGTCAAAATCAAAAATGTGCTTCTTACAGTAAATTGTTTCCAAATATAAAAATATGTCTCAGTCCTTTTTTACTGCAGTGAAAGAATTTTTCTTTGCCAACACAAAAAGATTAAACTGAATTGAAAACTAGTATAAGCTTGTTTTAATCAAGGCTAAGTTATGACATGAAACCAACAAGAAGACTGTCACAGGGATCCTAAAAGGTCTCATTTTTTTAATTTTATTTAACAAATATAAATTTCCAAAGTATAGCTTATGGATTACAGTGGCTTTTTCCCCCCCGTAACTTCCCTCCCACCTGCAATCCTCCCATCTCCCGCTCCCTCTCCCAAAAGGTCTTATTTTAATAAGACTCAGAGGAAAAGGATCAGAGGCCCGGCTTATCACTGATTACCACCATGAAAGCACTCATTTAAATAGCACAGCAAGGCTGTATTATCTCTTCAGGTGTAATTGAAACTTTAAAAAGAAAGAAAAGTAGTACTCTGTTAAAGTTCTTTGATATATCTACTTTAGTATTAAAAAAAAAACAAGCATTTTTAAAAACTCAAATTATTTTTTCCTAAAATAAGAAAAACAAATACAGTATAAATTAAAGTAATAAATAGGGATTTCCATATAACTGTTTTACCTAATTAACTTAATACTAACATCTAGTTTATATCATTATATAAAATCAACAATGTGAACAAAATTTTATTCTTTTGAATTATCAAATTTGAAACTCTGGCCTAGAATACAAATGACATAAGTGATCAAAATGGTGATTCTGTGGCTAACACTACACTGTATCTCATTTTCCCTAACTCCATTTGTAAAGGTGAACTGGAATTGTATTTCAAAATACAAGCATACCACTACAACGACCACTGTCTGTCTTGCGGAAAAATCCTTGCCTGTAGCAGCCTCCAAAGGTGAGACTGGGACTTTCTTCCTGCTGTGAGGAGAGCAGGGATGAGACAGAGCAAACACCCAGGAAAGCATCGTGGGCACAGTGGCTGCAGCCACATTTATCACTACACTGGGGGAAAAGCCCTTCCGATCCTGTTTCCCATAGAAGACTTTACGCTCTACTGAAATGCAAGCATGTGCATTGTTCTGATGACATTTTATTCCCTCTCTTACCTTGTTGACATTTATAAGATGACCTAATTCAGCTCAAATTGCCATAGTGAAAAGTAGCTGCAATGTGATAAGTGATTTTGCCTAGACATGATGTCTGGTTCCCACTGGTGCACACACACTGACAGCCCAGGGTGAGAACCACTAATTTCTTCTACTAGTCTTTTTCATGATAAAAGGCATGATAATGACTTTTTAAAATTCCTTGCTACTAAGTTGAGAAACTGAAAAGCTGTGAACACTCAAAATCACCAATCAAACTGGAAAAATAAGCCCTGTAATAACATGAGAAAAAACACGTCGTGAAGCCAATACCTTGGGAAATAAAGATAACAGGGATGAAATCACCTAAGTGCGTGACCTTAGTATTTCTATCCATGCTCCCTAATCCCCACAGGTAACAGTGGGCTGGCAGCTGGGAGCATATGAGACAACATATAAATGCAGGATTTCAAGGACATTACGTTAGAGTGGCAGGAAGTATAAAGTGAATACAACTTCTTTGCAGGTCATGGAAGATTAAAGCAGTAAAGAAAAAGGGACTTTCAGAGAATCTGTGAAAAACAAAAGAATTTGGGAAAGAAAAGAGTTTCTACAACAAACTGATGGGGAATAGAGGCTAGGTAATCATAAACAATTTACAAGAAAGTTATTAAAAATATTGGCAGGAATAACAACATTTACTTAATAGAACCAAACCCCTGGTGATTCAGAATGGGATATTCCATGAAGGAGCAAAATAGATAATGAGTAGATCAGGGCCCCATAATAAGGGAAAGAAAGGCCACGGAATTTCACTTGACAGCAGGCTAAATCTGACACAAGGAATGATGCTTTTTCAGCAACCAACTTACTTATGCCAAGGATAGAACTGAGCCTAGAAGTGGTAAAGATCTTATCCAAGATGACAGCAAGTGGTGGCAGCAGCTTATGGAGTGGTAGCAAGGCCCCTGCCCTGGAAGCATTCAGTGTGTCAGTTCTTCTAAGGGGGCCCAAACATGGAAACCTCAGAGTATCACTAGACAAGGTCAGAAGCAACAACAGGACCAGGGCCATCAAGCACACCCTCAGAATCCACTTTGAGGCTGACCAGGAAAGAAGTAAAACACAGGCACTTGAGGCAGAACTGTGCAGTACTTAGTGTTTCTACCATATGCTAGAATTCTCAAATTATTCTTCCCACTCCAAGAAAAGTCACTGCCTTTCAGAATTAGGGCAAAAGATGAATTTCCTCAAATTCAAATGATAAGGAGTAAAAGCAAGAAATGTAGATTCTAAGTATTATAAGCTAAGCTTTTACTTTCCGCTAATACAGCCTTAGAGACTCAGCATTTCAGAGTTCACAAACAAGGTTCTACAACTTCAGGATCTCACCCACCACCAAACACAATGCTATACCCAGCTGTGCGTACCACTTGAGACCCAATCACCCACCACTAAACACACTGCTATACCCAGCTGTGCATACCACTTGAGACCCAATCACCCACCACCAGACACACTGCTATACACAGCTGTGCGTACCCCACATGAGACCCAATCACTTACTCAACTTTTAAAAACTCAAAAACAGTTTACCATTTTAATTATAAAAACTTTCTGTATGTACTCCAAGTGAAAATATACTAAATTCCTCAAAATATTAAAATGAGAGTATGCATAACATGTCACAAGTATATGTACAATCATTTAAAAATGACAAATCTTTCACCTTTAGCAACACCCATTTCCATTAATGAGCAGTCGGAACTTAAACTTCTAACACACATACAATCTAATGTAATTCTGAATGCCCTATCTAACAGCAGCAAAACATATTTCAAATATAGGACTATATAAAATCAATTATATTTTAAAGGTTCTTTCTCCCAGCCCTGACTTTTGTAGATGAAGTCGAAACAGCTGTTAACTTTCACTCACCAGATAAAAACTGACTGAGCAGTGTGAATCCAATAGTGTGTTCAAGAATATTCTCATGACACTTAAAGAACATAAATAGAGTAAAAACAGGCTAACCAGTTGAAGCTGTAGTAAGTGGATGAAGCTCCTGGTTCTGTCTGGCTCAGTCCCAGCCAGTCCAGCCATATGGAGAGTGAACCCGTGCATGGAAGATCTCTCTCTGTCTCTCTCTCTGTTTCTGTGGCTCTGACATTCAAAATAAATAAATCTTGAAGATAAAAGAAGAAATTGTGACCTTGCATTTTCTGTAATATTGGCATTGTAACATCTCACTGTCTCTGTGACAGTACTGTGTCCTCTGAACTCTACAGTAAGTGAAATCCAATGTAAGCCCATTTCTGTATTCTCAGGAAAATATTTCCAAGAGTTGAAAAGAATAGTTTGGCATCTTAAGTTATGGACCATAAGAAAAACTGAATTTTACTGTTGGAATTAAATTTTGATAGCTTAATTTGGGAACCTACTTATCCTAAAATCTCTCGTTAAAAACATGGACTCTTGGCTGGTGCCACGGCTCACTAGGCTAATCCTCTGCCTGTGGGGCCAGCACCCTGGGTTCTAGTCCCGGTCGGGGCACCAGATTCTGTCCCAGTTGCTCCTCTTCCAGGCCAGCTCTCTGCTGTGGCCCGGGAAGGCAGTGGAGGATGGCCCAAGTGCTTGGGGCCTGCACCCACATGGGAGACCAGGAGGAAGCACCTGGCTCCTGGCTTCGGATCAGCGCAGCATGCCAGCCGCAGCACACCGTCCATAGCGGCCACTTGGGCGGCGGGGGGGGGGTGAACCAACGGAAAAGGAAGACCTTTCTCTCTGTCTCTCTCTCTCTCACTGTCTAACTCTGCCTGTCAAAAAACAAACAAACAAAAAACCTGGACTCTTGCAATGTGGACTAGAAATGTTTTCATCAATAACTATAGTTGCTCTACCCTTTAGGCTTCCAAATTTTCAAACTCCAGATGATGTTGAACTAACTCACTGACTTAGCCAGGGAAATGGGAGGTGCTACTTGTAGTCATCAAGCTGACACAGTGCTGTATGAGGGAGTTTAAAAAGTTCTGCAGAGGAACCTGAGGCTGAACAGAAAGATAATTGGACAAGAAATATCTCATGTCTTCATTTTAACCTTTTGTTTACACCACACACCAAATAAAAAACAAACAAACAAAAAACCCTAGAATTGGAAAGGAAACTACATTCAGCCTTCTGAATATTACTGTTATTTTATTTGATTGATACCTTCAGATTGCCCTTGATTACAAAGTATTAACTAGTGTCTTATTTTGGTATTACTTGCCTGTGGTTTTTTTCTTTGAAGTTGCTATATTTAACTGTATTTTGGCCATCAATGTATAAATAAGAATTTACAGAAGTCTAATATTTTTCTATATTAAATTATACTTTTATTAAAAAGAGAAAGGAAATGGGGCAAAATTTTAGGAAACTACTTTAGAAAAATCAACAACTTTGTTTATTCAGTATTGAGAAGTGACTTAAATTGATAGACCAGAGAAAAGCATTTTCCCTACAAAACAACTATGCGACAAAGAGATCATTGCACTAACTTGAACATCGTTTATTTAGCAAATATTCACTGAATTCCACATGATGTGCTGGAGACTACCCTTGGCACCTGGAATGTATCTGCGAACGTTGATGCATCAGACATTAAACTTACGAACCGAAGTTGAGGAGCACAAGAAGAGAGAGCTTATAGTGCTTTGGACAAACAGTCCAGGGAAACTTGAACTGCTCCAGAAGCCCAGGGAAGATGTGTGCACAGAACCCACAGCTGAGGCTGTCAGGTGGACTCACAGCCCAGAGAGGGAGAAGGACGCGCAGCGGGGGGGACACGGGAGGGGTTCAGTTTGCGTGTGACAGGCAGCAGGAAGAGTAGGTTTGAAAACCCGGAAGAGACAGACCATGTGAGTCGTAAGTCTCTGAGCCGAGCTCCTGATCACGGGAATGGAGGCAGCGAGATGAGGTGGGACCAGCCTGGACGCGTCGCAGGGTGAACGCGAGGAACTCGGCCGCCTGAAGAAGGGAGCTGCTCCAGCTGGTGCTCCTGCTGAACTGCTCGCAAGTCTGTTCCCAAGTGCTAACTTCACCTCGCGATCGCTTTTACAGAGTAACGCATGCTAAGATCTCGGGAGTCGCTTTACTGCCAGTGTCTTCTTTCCCTGCAGTTTTCAAAGGACAAAGCATTTTTCCACTTCCATCTCCAGGACAATTCACTGATCTATGACCTCGCTGACCTTCACCCCAACTCCTTTAAAGAGTCTGCATGTGGAGTGTAACTCTCAGCCCTTTTGATAAACTGAACCAGTATACTTTTGCTGCTCAAAATCCCATTAGCCAACGTACATGAGAACTCAGGTCGAACTTACCCTGTTTATTAGAACTATTTCCTGTCGCACATGCACGGTGCCGTCTGTTTTTACACCTCAGAGTATCTCATCCTTGCCTGGATGTCATTCATGCTCTCTATTTGTTGATTGGATCCATAATAAATTTTGTTGATGCTAAATTTTATTTTGCTTTTAAATCCTCTTGTCTGTTTAAAAACTCCATGGTTCTGTGTTAAAACTTAGGCCCAAGATGAAGGGAATAGTATATAATTACATGAATTATATTTTAAAGATGATATGATAAGGATATTATTTAAACATTTTAGGTAGTACCCCTTAACAATCTGTGTGTTAACCATCAGTTTATGGGGCTCTTTTTGAAATTAGTGGGAGTTTATAAGACATGTGTTACAGAATAAAAGGAATAAGAACTGGCTTATTTTCAAAGTTTTATGCTTTAACTGTGCTGGGAATCAGACAAAGCATTTAAAAGCTGTATATCACCACACAGCTAGTCTTATGTTAAACTCTCTCTTTTTTTTTTTTAATTGACAGGCAGAGTTAGACAGTGAGAGAGAGAGAGAGAGCGAGAGAGAGAGAGAGAGAGGTCTTCCTTCTGTTGGTTCACCCCCCAAAATGACCGCTATGGCTGGCATGCTGCGCCGATCCAAAGCCAGGAGCCAGGTGCTTCCTCCTGGTCTCCCATGCCGGTGCAAGGGCCCAAGCGCCTGGGCCATCCTCCACTGCCTTCCCGGGCCACAGCAGAGAGCTGGACTGGAAGAGAAGCAACCAGGACTAGAACCCAGTGCCCATAAACTCTCTTCTTAAAAAAACAAAAACTTGGGCCGGCGCCGTGGTTCAATAGGCTAATCCTCCACCTTGCGGCGCCGGCACACCGGGTTCTAGTCCCGGTTGGGGCGCCGGATTCTGTCCCGGTTGCCCCTCTTCCAGGCCAGCTCTCTGCTATGGCCAGGGAGTGCAGTGGAGGATGGCCCAGGTGCTTGGGCCCTGCACCCCCATGAGAGACCAGGAAAAGCACCTGGATCCTGGCTCCTGCCATCGGATCAGCGCGGTGCGCCAGCTGCAGCGGCGGCCACTGGAGGGTGAACCAACGGCAAAGGAAGACCTTTCTCTCTCTGTCTCTCTCTCTCACTGTCCACTCTGCCTGTCAAAAATTAAAAAAAAAAAAAAACTTGGAGAAGGTGCTGTGGTGTAGTGGGTAAAGCCACCGCCTGCAGTGCTGGCAGCCCATATGGGCACTGGTTCGAGTACCAGCTGCTCCACTTCCAATCCAGCTCTCTACTATGGACTGGGAAAGCAATGGAAGATGGTCCAAGTCCTTGGGTCTTTGCACCCACATAGGAGACCCAGAAGAAGCTCCTGGCTCCTGGCTTCAGATCAGCTCAGTTCCGGCTGTTGCGGCCATCTGGGGAGTGAACCAGTAGATGGAGGACCTCTCTCTCTCTCTCTCTCTCTCTCTCTCTCTCTCTGTGTGTGCTTCTGCCTCTATGTAACTCTGCCTTTCAAATAAATAAATGAATATTTTTAAAATAATAATTTTAATGAGGTACAATTTACATGGCATAAAATTTAACCATTGCAAGCATAAAATTAAATAATTGTTCATAAGTTTATAGAGTCACACAACTATGACTGCAGTCTACTTTCAGAATTCTTGCTGCATCCTAAGATGTTTCCTCATGGATGTTTTCAATCAGTTCTGGCACACACTGCCCCTCCCCCTGCACTATGCAAGTACTGATCTTCTTCCTATTTCTATAGGTTTACCTTCTCTGGAAATTTCAGATAAATAAAATCACATATGGCCGTTCATCTCTAGATTCTTTTAGTAGCATAAAGTGTTGAGGTTCATTGATACTGTATGATGCACTGGTGACTGGCACCTTTTTATTTTGTAGTGTTATTCCGTAGTATGAATACATCATGCTTTGTCTCACCCATAAGGTCTGTGCAATAACAATTATAAAACACTGATGCAAAGAATCACAAAGGCAACACCAAAAAATGGAAAGATACTGTATGTTTATGATTGGCGCAGCTCTGGCCGTTTTGGCCAATTGGGCTATGAATCAGTGGATGGAAGAACCTCCCACCCCCCCTGCCTCTGCCTCTCTGTAACTCAAATAAATAAATCTTTTTAAAAATTTGCAATTATTATTACTGTATTTATGCTAGTGGTTACATTTTTGTATACCTGATTTTTAGAGCAATTTTACATTTACAGGAAAACTGAATGGAATATACAGGGTTCCTCTCCACCTCCCAGTTTTTCTTTTATACTAAGCATCTTATGTTAGTGTGACATACTTGTCACAGTTGATGAGTCAATATTAATACATTATTGTTAACATGAAGCCCATACAGTATTTATAACTTTTATTTTTAAATAATCATACATGTATAACAAGGTTTATTATATATAAACTTTATGTTCACTCATAATCTTCTTTATTTAATTGAGTTACCTTCGCGTGTTATTTCTCTTCAGATTTAGCAATTTCTGTTAGCATCTCTTGTAACTCAGGTATGATGGAATATGTTTCTAGTTCTAAACCCTAATTTTTTTTTTTTTTTTTTTTTGACAGGCAGAGTGGACAGTGAGAGAGGGAAACAGAGAGAAAGGTCTTCCTTTGCCGTTGGTTCACCCTCCAATGGCCGCCGCGGCCGGCGCGCTGCGGCCGGCGCACCGCGCTGATCCGATGGCAGGAGCCAGGAGCCAGGTGCTTCTCCTGGTCTCCCATGGGGTGCAGGGCCCAAGCACCTGGGCCATCCTCCACTGCACTCCCTGGCCACAGCAGAGAGCTGGCCTGGAAGAGGGGCAACCGGGACAGAATCCGGCGCCCGG